GGAGAGAGAAACTGTACAAGACCAGAGTGGGGTTCAGTCCTCCTGCAGCCCCACAGCACACAGATCAGGGGAGGAGAGAGAAACTGTAAGACCAGAGTGGGGTTCAGCCAGGACACTGGTCAAGACCTCAGAACCTCCTACTGCACTGTGTCACCATCCTTTGCTAATGCTGATCCACAGGGAAGAGTGACACCTACTGGTCCACGCACGCCACATACAGCAGCCACCTGAGATTGGACCAGATTAGTGCTGAACGTTATTAGATTGCACCTGCCTGACTAAACACTTACTCCTGTGCTGTGAAGACACAGCCCAGTGCCTCCACAACTCTTCCTAGAGACCAGTTCCGTGCGGGCCCTGCTCTGGCCCTCCTACCTTGCAGGGAGACCTCCAGGAAGTAGTGTGTGTACTTCTCCATGAAGGCCCGGGTCTTGGGGAGGGAGGAGAGCGGCCAGCCGTTGTGCAGGTCGCTGTCCTGGATGGCGGCGTGGAGGTAGTAGTCGATGAAGTGGGCGGCGGTGGGCATGCACAGGTTCCAGTTGAAGGTCTCCAGCAGCAGCAGCTCCATCTTGAGGAGGTCGCGCTTGGTCAGCACCAGGTTCAGGCTGCACATGAAGCCCAGCGCGTTCAGCTGCTCCAGCTTGGGCACGCGGTCCTCCTTCTCCTCGAATTTACCTGCCGGGGGAAGAGGGAGCCGTGGTCAGACCAGCCCGGGATATGCAACAACAGGGCTGGGCAGCTTGTTCCAGACTCCCACCGCTCTTTGTGTAAAGACGTGCCTCCTGTCCTGACTGGAGGATCTCATCCAGCTGTTTCTGGAATCTGATACCCTGGTTTCTTGTTCCACCCTCCCACAACCCTTTGTGTAAACCTCTCCATCTGTTACCCACTGTCCGTGAGTCAACCTCTTAGGGGATAACGGTCAATGTTAGGTTGGGTTTTTATTTTCATCACATGACCCACCACATCAACCTTTTGCCTATGCGGCCTCATGAAGGCAGGACACATGCAAGACCTAGAATTAAAAAAATCCCACTACAACAAAGAGAGAACTAGATCAGGTTCACGATTTCACACCGCAGCAGGAGCGCAGGTGTCCAGGGAACTACAAACAGCACGGGCTAAGGGCGTGGTGAGTGCTCAACAACCGAGCAAAAGCCTTTCTAGGTTTCCAGGCTTTGGCAGAACCCAACACCTTCTGGGCCAATCTAAAATGGCTTGAACCACCCAGGAAGGAAAAAAAGGCTTAACACCAACCAGGCGCGTTTGTGGGCATTTAAGAGACACATGCCAACATTTCTCATCAACGTCCTTCTTGGCCTTTTTCAAGATCCTGGCCAGCCTAATGAACACGTCTCTTTCTCACGGGCAGCGGTGTGGAGCAGTGTTCAGGGCTATGGAGGTGTACAGGGTAGGCTGGTTGTTCGAAACTGCTGTCATACCGTTGAGCACACTGCCTTATCTGAGCTGCTCCGGTAAAAAAAAAAAAAACAGCCGTATAAACGGAAGTCGCTTCGGATAAGAGCGTCAAATACAATTAATAATAATTAAATAAAGTCCGCAGGGCGAATGAAGCCGAAGCGAGTTTAATTCCCCAATCTCTCTACTCAGACGAACATAAAACTGGGGGGAGCGGGGGAGGCCCCTCTCAGCTGTAAAAGCACATATGCCCACTGCCCCCTTATTGATCCGGTTCACAGGCGCGCTCTTTCCGCCGAGGTGACGTCGCGGACGGCCTGAAAGAGGCCAGCGAGCCCCGAACAATAGAGCCGAGTCACCCGAGAGGAGCGGCCCTGTCCCGTCCGCCCCGCCGGCAGGTGCAAGAAGCGACGCCATTTGCATTTTTAAATAATGCGGGGACATCGATCAGGCAAATAGGGGCGACTTACTGGCTCACATCTGATCTTTCGCGGAACAGCGTGCAGTGGGGGGGGAGCGAGCACAGGGCACGTGCGTGGCCGTGAATGTTAATTAAAAGGGGGGAATTCCGGCTCCCCGACAACACGGAACGCATTTTCTCCTGGCAACCCTCTTTTCACGGTCGGAGATGTCCGTCCTCGCCAAACAGGCGTGCCCAAGCCTTCACACAGACCGCGGCGCCGGTTTGTCTTTAATTAACAGCTCTTGAATGACGGCCGGCCCAGGACTACAGCGCTCACGTCCACACACTGTAAACAAGACGGCAATTAGTACTCTCCCGTTGTACAAACGGGGAGCTTTCGAAACACACAGCAGGTTTTTTTACCCACGAGAGACCCCTACAGCACTCGAGTTCAAACAAGACGTGTGGCAGGCGCTCTTTCCTTCTCTTCGCCTACTGAAGGAATTCATTTGGAATGTATTAGTCTGGAAACCCCCGGAGGGGCTGAAGATATTAAAATTAATGGGACATTCAAAATAAAACAGCAAAAAAAAAAAGCTGGGAGAGCCAGCTGAAGCCTACTTGATTATTCAATGAGGATGAAAACTATTAGGATCCTATAGCCCCGCCCACTCCCCCCGGGGGTGGAAGGGGGGGGGGCTCTCTTCATATATATACTTCTCCTAGCAACAGCTCTGTGACCTCACAATCCCTCACGGCCAATCAGATTACAGAGTTCAGCCTTTTAACCCAAGTGGGGAAAGAGCCGGGGCCCCTCCCCCCCCCAGTGGAGGAGAAGGGGGGGTGGGGGTCAGATTACACAACCTGCACACCCCAGCCACCCCCTAATGATGGCCCCTGCGCTCCTTAATGCTCCCTTAGGCAAAGCAGTGGAGGGGGGAGGAGGGGTCTTGTGATCCAATTACTGATCCACAGTCCCCTATAAATTGCACAAACGCCGGCACTGTAGAATAAAATGCTAATTTCTTATAGATGGGTGAAAAAAACCTCACAATTTAGAGCAGCACAGGATGCAGGCTCAGGTCTGCACACTGCGAAGCACAGGGACCAGGTGATGAGTATTACAGTCTCCCAGATCCAGGCCCTCGGGTAAAATTCCTGGATCGGGGGAACCTGTCTGTGTGGAGCTTGCACGTTCCCAAACGTGCACAGCTCCTCTCCGGGCACTCCCGTTTCACTGCCTCCCTCCTCTCTCTTGGGGACTGGCGGCTCGGCATCGCCCCTTCCCGATGGTGGCCTGTTCCCAGTACAGCCAGCGGCAACTCTGGGACCACAGGGGGAGCTGGAGCCAGACAAGAGCTAGGGCTCTCGCGTTCGGCTCTGCTCCACCCACACCGGCGCGGACCTCTCCCAGGCCGGGCACGGTCATCACAGGGGGATGCCCCCGGGGCAGGATGCTTCAGGAGTGGGCCTCTTGCCCTCACCCAGGGCAGGTAACGACGATGCCTCTGCTGTCAACCGGCTCACAAACCGTGAAATGGAACACCTCGGGCCAGAGTCGGGTTAGGGATTTACCACGATCGCCGTTTCAGTGCTGGCAGAACAACCGTGTTGTCGTGCCGTTACATGTCCTACAGCACCCTCAGCCTTCATCAAGCGTCTTTTACAGATGCGGGGTGTTGAATATTCCGTGCTGTAGTACAGAAGGTCACAGAAGGACAGGGTGCGTTTTTTCTTCCCTTACTGAAAAACACCAGGCCTGTGCGTGGCAGAATTTGGGTCAAGTCGCTCATCCAAGGACAAAAAATGTCCAGCTCCACGTCCTGGAGCAGTTCTGGGGCTCCGGAGCCAGAGCTTGGCCAACCCTAACAAATTCCCAGTGTTGTTAGCTGCCCAGAGTCTCGCCCCTGCACACAGGCCGCGGTTTATTATACTACAGCTCCTCCTCCTCCTCCTACAGTGCCAGCTCGGCTCACACCGTCCAGCAACTCACAAGGCAATAAAAACTCGAGCACAGGCTGGAGGGACCCTTTGATCCTGGCGTGAACAGCTGGGACGTACAGCACATACTCCACGGTGGACAACCTTAACATGCATGAACCCCTGCAGGCGTCTATACAGTGCTTCCCAGCCCTGCTCCTGGAGGAACAGTGTCTCGGTTGAATCTCATATATCCTCTACTGGGAGGCTAAAGGAACTGAATCTCCTTAGTCTTGAAGAGAGGGGACTACGAGGGGACCTGATGCAAGTATTCAAAATCTTCAAAGACACTAACGGTAAACCCAGAGGACAGGAACCACCTCACGCAAAGAGTGGTGGGAGTATGGAACAAGCTGTCCAAACATGGTGTGTAGCCAAGATCATGTCTTTTTAAGTATTAAATAGGACTATCAACCAAATGGTTTTGATGGGCCAGGTGGCTTCCTCTCTCATTTTCCTAGAAAAAGTAAACAAATGCCCCATCTGTTCAAGCTCCGTTTTATAAAAGGTTCCTCTCCTTCCTGGCACGGCTGGAGTGTCGAACAGACATGGGAGGGGTGCAGCCTCACTGCTGTACCCCAGGGGCCCCTCAACCTGCGCTGCCACGCGTGTGGGGGACATTTCTGGAGCGGGCAGCGTATTCCTGTCAAAGCAGGGGCAACATTTAGGACGAGAGGCCCATGATGCATTGGGGCAAAGTCTCGGTCATACCCAGCCCACCAGCCAGCACAGCGACGCAATACCCTCTGTCCACTCAACCCTCAGGGAGTAAGGACATGGCAGCCAGGACTGTCCAGACAAGCAGCCGACAGCCGAATCAACCCAAGCCATCCAGAGCCCAGAAGACCACAGCCCTCCAGCGTACGCACTAACAAACAGGATGATCTCCGAGTAAATCAGATGAGGTATTTACTACCCCCCATCAGTCCAACAGCTAATAACTCAGATACCCTTTTCCTACTGGACATTTACTAGCTCTTGCCAAGTTGTTCCACTGATAAAGCTGTAATACACGACTCAGTGGGTTCTCCGGGGCTGTAGTCACGCATGCTGACTTCAGCCACTACAAGTATTAAAGTGCTGCTGTCTGTTTGATGGCAGACCGCTGCAGCGTGTGCTGTGCTATTCTGGTCAGGAAACAGCTGGGGTGGAAGTGCTAGTGGACTGGTCTATCAGGGCGTATTTTCTGGGACCAAGATGGACTCAAGGAAGAAAAGGGGACCTCTTGGCACAGTTTTCCTTTGGTCGGTGTGGCCAGCAGCTCTGTGTGGAGTGAGGGGGAAGTGGACAGCTCTCACCCCTTCGGCCCGAGGATGCAGGCAGGACCCCGTCCTGAAAGGGTTTTGAGAACCCGTAGGGCTCCAGGGCGTCCGGACTCCTGCGGACACCCAGCGAGAGAGAGCGTGAGGTCCGCACGTTCGGGTGGCAGCCCCAGAACCAGCAAGAATATTCGCTGGGATTTCCTCAGCTGGCAGAACCCAGTCGCTGGAGCCGGTCCAGAGTCCCACACAGGCGCCAGAAAGGGCTCATGGCAGACCGGCTGAAATCCCAGAGGGCTTACCGACGCGAAATCATTTTTTTTTTTAACACAGGAAGCAAACAAGTAACGCGTCGCTGCAAATGGTTAAACATATGTCAAGCTCCAACTTAAGAGGTTCCAGGAGAAAAAAAAGGGAATCAAATGACGAAGGCTGAAAATTACACATCAAAAAGATGCCAAGCGGTCGTTGATGTAAAAGCAGGTGTGTTTAGACTGCAGTCACGTGTGCCAGGTGTCTGTAGTGCTGACCGGGACTTTTGCACACAGGGAGGAGTGCAGGCTCCAGGCAGGTTGGAGAAGGATCAGCCATCCAGACCACCCTGAGCCTGAATT